CTGAGAGCATAGTGTTAAAATTACAACCACTGGTTACCAAAATCTTTGATGTATTCATTCTTTTCTAAAACCAAGCTTCAGCATATATACAAGTGTAACTATTCAATTGTACTCTGTTCTCAATATATCAATAATGTCATATTGTCTACATTTTGAACATCCTTTCCTAACAATTTTCTAAGGTGCCTACCTTTCATTTCCAAGGGTCTATGTTATTATCTAAAACAAAAGAAAGCTTTATGAATTTTTATTTGTTTGCTTAACTGAATCCAGAACATTTTTACTTTTACTTCTATTTACTGGGGGTGAGACATACACTATCTAAATCAGTTAAGAAACTGAAATTCTAAGTTTCCCACAATATGGTTAGCCTATCATCACAGTCTCCTTTTCTCAAAACCCTTCACCCAACCACACAAATTATTCTCAACATTCCTATAACATAATGCACACACATTTGAGAATTCTGTGCCTTTCCTCAAGTTATTCTTTTTGCCTAACAGATGCTTTCCACCCTCTTATCCAGCCCATATGTGATTCCTTCACAGTTTATAAGAAAGAGCTGATGTCACATCCTACTACCATTTTTACTGACCAGAATTAATCCCTCCTTTTATTATTCTTTCACAAACCATTACTCAAAACTACCTGAAGACACTCTTTGGCCTTCTAATTGTGCAGAATTAGCTCTATACTCCAAGACTCCGCAAGTTATGTAAGCATACTTTTAAGCACCCTAATAGGGTACTTGGCACAAAGAGCACAAAATGAAAAGTTTGTTAAATTGAATTCTGGGGGCGCCTGGGTGGCTCAGCTTGTTAAGTATCCGACTTCAGTTCAGGTCATGATCTCACAGCTTGGGGGTTCGAGCCCCAAGTTGGGCTCTGTGCTGACAGCTCAGAGCCAGGAGTCTGCTGCGGATTCTGTGTCTCCATCTCTCTCTGTCCCTCCCTTGCTCATGCTCTGTCTCTCTCTCTCTCTCAAAAATAAATAAACATTTAAAAAAATTTAAGTTGAATCCTGGACACCACATATTTTAAATGTTGGTACAAGTGAGTTGACAAGCAAGCATTTCAGCAAATATATACATTTTTTTCATGTTTGCAAGCCTAAAGGTCATTTGCTCAAGACTATTCACTCATCTATCTTCCACATTCTATAACCAGAGGTGCTTACCTACTACTCAAATAACCAGTAATGGTTGTATTTACAACATTGCAAATGTCTACTCCTATAACCACATTAGCATGATACTACTGGTGGGATGGCTATTCTAAGTAAAAAGAAAAAAAAATCTATTAAATAACTTATTAAATCACATTATTTTATATAAATAGTATATAATTTCAAAAATATCTCTTAGTTCAAGTCTTTATAGAAAAAAAAATTTATCTGGGATCCTGGGTGGCTCAGTTGGTTAAACATCCAACTCAGATCATCATCTCACAATTCATGGGTTCGAGGCCCATGTTGGGCTCTATACTGACAGCTCAGAGCCCGGAGCCTGCTTTGGATTCTGTGTCTTGCTCTCTCTGCCCCTTTCCCCGCTCACACTTTGTCTCTCTCTCTCTCTCAAATATAAATAAACACTTAAAAAAAAGAAAAAAAATGATCAATTAAAATGTTATTCCTAGAAAATACTTTAGAGAAATACCAATTATACTTGATATCATAAAATTACCCAATTTAACATCTAGCTGTCTTTTCTACCTGTGGCATATTTGTAAAATCAACTTAAGTAGTCAATTTTAGTGAAAAAAGTCAATTTTAGTTAAAATGACCATTCATATTAGCATGGCTCAATAAATGTGACAACCTGAAAAAAAGTCATACAATTTCAAATAGATATAATTTTAATATACAGATATAAATGGTAGTTTAAATGTTATAAATTGATTAACAGTTTCTATAGGTTTTTAATTATTTGACTATTATTGATGTCTAAATGATTTTCACTCTTGCCATCTTTAGTAGCCTTTTTCAAAGTTCTTCATCCTTCTTGATTATTTCCTTACTTGTTTTTACCTATCAAGAGCATTAAGTAAACTCCATTCTTGTCAGTAATATATACCCTTCATTAAAAGAGAAATTGAAGCTATATATGTTCTTTAAAACTTACTTAAGTCATCTATCCATTTTATTGTATCCCTTGATTAATCTGTTTCCTCTAATTCATGCACCTATTATAAACTATGTCCATATACTCTCATTTTCAATTATTCCTACTGCTTTCACTTTCCATATATGCATTATTATTTGAGGGATAATCTAAAAGTAATATAGATCATTCCAACAGTGACATTCCAAGGCAATTGAGTATTCAATTTATGTGTTAATGCCTGAATCCTTGTGTTACCTTTCCCTCTGTAGTTTATACATATTGGTCACTGGTCTTTATATTTACAAGGTAGAATCTTAAAGGAAATAAGAAGCACATATATGTGTTAAAAATTAGGATCTGTTTGGCTTAGAATTTTCACTGCACTAATTCCTAGCTCTGTGACCTTGTAAAGGTTATTTAATGTACTTGAGTCTCAATTTCCATATGTTTCAATAGGGTAAAATGATTCTTGATTTCTAGGACTCATGTGAATAAACTTCTTTGAACAAAGACTAGCATATGGTAAATGCCTGATAAATGTTAACCATTTCTCCCTTTTCCACCTTATTCTATCATCATATTTTCTACTATTGTCTCTTTCCTCTTCTTTCTCTCTTTCCTCCTGCAAATCCATGGCTGGTGTCCAAAATGTTCATCTCAGTCAAGTACTATGTTTGGCAAGGGGAGAAAAGAAATCTGAATCAATTATGCAAATATCAACATAATTAATCAGCCTTTCATGAAGTTTCCAATGCTCCTCTCTGTTACCAGTGCCATGATAAAGATATAGGCTTTAGTAGAAATAATTTATTTTGAAATAAATCCCATCAGTCACGATTTAGCCTATAACTTGTTGGTATTTTTTGTTCCTTACTCTCTTTAAGAAGAGGTTTCTCCAACTGGGAACCAGAACTCAGATATACCTCATAAGGCTACTATGGAAATAAAATGTAAAATTCTTAGTGCAGTGTCTGCAAATAGAAAACTATGGAGTAAGCATTACTTTTCAGACAATTCTGCCCTTTCTCTTCGAAACTAATAAACTAGATATAGTAGAAAAAAATCTCACTTTCGTAACACCTATTACCAGATCATTGTAAGAACAATAGTTCTTTACAGTAAGTTTACTTGTAACTCACTAAGTCCCTGTGTCTCCTCATTACCAGTTTGCTTTGAAACAGCCTGATCAAGACAAATACAATCACGACAGCAGGGGTGTAACTGCTGTTCCTCACAGGATTCTTTGGCTATGACTCCATGAGGTGAGTGATAATATAATCACTAAAATTTTTGTCATTTTTTTTCAACAATGGAAAAGTAACTCTTATAAACTTTTTAACGATTTATACGTTCTTATAAATTACTTTGTACACTGAGAACACAGATATGTATATATCTTGGAGGAGTATTTTAGAAAAAAAATCATTCCTTGAAAGTAACTAATAAGTTTAACATGTTTAATACAATCAATAAATATTGATGTTTACTAAAAATAAGATGATGAATTACAAATATAGTTTCAAAGATATATTTTCAGGAATGGTTTGATGAGAGCTCTATGAAAATAAAAGGAAAATTTCAAAAAAATAAAATCAGTCTATAAAGCAAACAAATCTAAGGAAACAAAAAGCCTGCTGAACAAAGACAGAAAAGTTAACTCTTTACAGAAATGTATACTTGAAAATAAACATTTAATGAGTATTTATATAAAAAGTCAAATTCAAACAGCAATATTTGAAGGATTCTAAAAATAAAACATTTTTCAGTCAACTTCTCCTTTCAAATTTAAATTTGCAGATGTAATGGAAAAAAAAAACAATATAAAAGTATCAACTAAGAATCTGATGAATGAGAAAAATACAATTTATAAAAAAAGGAAGAAAAGCTAACCCAAGTACACCTGAATAACTGTTGACTACCTCTGTTACTATAAATTTTCCTTAATTAGGCAAAATCTAGATAAAAAGCTTCACAAACCACCCTTTTATTTTTACTTGAAACAATTTTTTTAATATGGAATTTACTGTCAAATTGGTTTCCATACAACACCCAGTGCTCAACCCAACGGGTGCCCTCCTCAATGCCCATCACCCACTTTCCCCTTCCTCCCACCCCCCATCAACCCTCAGTTTATTCTCAGTTTTTAAGAGTCTCTTATGATTTGGCTCTCTCCCTCTCTAACTTTTTTTTCCCTTCCCCTACCCCATGGTCTTCTGTTAAGTTTGTCAGGATCCACATAAGAGTGAAAATTAAAAAAGAAGTAGAAACACATTGCAATGTGAAAACGTGCAAAATATATTAAACCACATAAAAAGTCCATTATAACCACAGCTAAAGTGATATCAGTACTTGAAAAATTAGTTTGTAAATTACACATCTTTAAATTACACATGCCTTTCAAAAGCAACTACTCTCAGGTAACAAAACCTAATCATAATGTTTCTTTTGGTCAAGTTCAAAAACATACACTGCTTTATTACACTCATATGTTTTAATAAAAAATAAATTGTTAATATCTGTAAAATCCACTTCTTTTATAACAATCTAAAGTTTGTTTATGGACAAATACTCACTGAGGTTACCAAATTTAATAAACCTATATACAAAAAACTCTTATACATAGAATTTTTTTCTATGAAAAAAATATTTATAGGGAGACAGTCTAATATTATATAAACACTGTATTAAAGAATAATGATAATTTAAAGAAAAGCAAATATTTGTATACATCATTCTCATTGGTTACCAATTCTAATTGTATTTTAATCTTTTCTAAGAGATTTTAGTTATGTGCTAAAATTCATGGTAACTAGAGCCAAAATTCACTGTTCCTTTAACTATTATAACAAACTCTAAAACCTAGTAAGGATGAAAGTTTTAAAAACATAATTAAACTTACCCCATTTAATGGATATGTTTTCCATCCTAGCTCTCCCAGCACAGTTGTTGTATCAAGCAACACAACTGGAATTAAATTAAAAAAAAAACTTACATGAATATCTCAAATTGATGAAAAAATATGTTATTTAAATCATTAATGTCAACTACCTTTACTATTATTCATTGCATTAGCTTTAATAAGTTGCATTACTTACTTTAAAATTAACTATGTATACTAAATTCTAATATAAATATTAATAATAAAATAACATAAAGTAGTTCTAACTTATTTTCAAAATATGTAATTTGTGTTTAACAATGCTAAATAAGGCAGATAACTGAATAACAGAATTAAGTTATTTTTAATAGCTGACTTTTAAAACTGACAAGTGTTGAAGGAGGTAATCAAGAGGATGTGACTGTCAGTTGACCCTCGAGCTGGACTCAGGCAACTGTAGGCTCCTCATCCCCCCACCCCCCTCCCCTATTCTCAGAATATGAGCTCTGCCTACTGTTTCCATAGTGGGAGCTATTCCAGGGACACAGCCTTGACAAAGTAACATTAGTCATTGCAGAATATTCTTTCAGTACTGTTTAAATCAATTCATTAAACATACGTTTGTAGAACTAAGCTTCAATTATTTAAATTTTGTGGAAAATTCTCAAACATATTTTAGAATGTAGCGAAAACAGTAAAATGAACCCTCATGTACTCATCATCCAGATTCAATAATTACCAATTTATAGCCAATCTTACTTCATCCACATGTTTTTATCTACTCTCTCCCACTGAAGTATTTCTTTGAAGCAAATTCCAGTAACATCCATAAAAATTTAAGTATATATTTCTAAGATAAAGACTCCTCTTTATATAGCTACAGTATCTTAATTCATTACTATAAGTAGTAATTCCTTAATGCCATCAAATATCCAGTGTTTAATATCCCTATTGTCTGAACTTACTTGAATAGAAAAAATCAAGCTCTAAATAAGTCCTATTCATTACACTGAGTTGACAATCTACTTTCGTTTTTTATCAACGTTTATTTATTTTTGGGACAGAGAGAGACAGAGCATGAACGGGGGAGGGGCAGAGAGAGAGGAAGACACAGAATCGGAAGCAGGCTCCAGGCTCTGAGCCATCAGCCCAGAACCCGACGCGGGGCTTGAACTCACGGACCGCGAGATCGTGACCTGGCTGAAGTCGGACGCTTAACCGACTGCGCCACCCAGGCGCCCCTCTACTTTCGTTTTTTAATCTACACTTTATCCCATGAAATTTTTTTGTTAGATTTATTGAGGTATGATTTACTTACAATAAATTTACCCTTTCTAAATGTACATTTCTATGAATTGTGACAAACACCCACATCCATGTAACCACTGCTACAGTCAAGCTATGGAATATTTCCATCACCCCCAAAACTTCCTTTGTTATCCAATATGGCTAATCCCTTCCACAGCCCAGTCCCTGGCAACTACTAATCTAACTTCTGCCCCTATGATTTTGCCTTTTCCAAAATGTCAAATGAATGAAATAGTATAGCATGGGTTCTTTCAAGACTGGTTCTTTCTTGTAGCATAATGCATTTGAGATTCATCTATGTTGCTGCATGTATCAATAGTTCCTTTTTATTGTTGAAAAGTATTCTATTGTATGAAATTCCCTACTTGATGGAAATGTGAGCTATTTCCCGTTGGGGACATTATAAATAAAGCCACTATAAACTTTCATGTACAGGTTTTTATATGACCCTATGCTTTTATTTCTCCATGGTAAATAGGGATTCCTGGGTTTATGGAGAATCCTCATTTTGAAGACACTGTCCAACTGTATTACAAAATGGCTATGATGTTTCAAATGCCCATTAGCAGAATACCAGTTTTCCAGTTGCTTCACATCCTTAGCAGGACTTGGTATTGTCCAGGTCTTTTTTAAGGCATTCCGACAGGTGTATAATGGTATCTCATTGTTGTTTTAATATATTTCCTTAATGCCTGGCCAGTTATCTTTTTCTTTTTTTTTTTTTTT